GAAAACTGAAGCCTACCAAGTGATTTTCCGGTCAGCAAAAATGTACAGACAACAATGAAAAACTGTGACTCCATTATTAGAGTGCTATGTAGTTAGTAATGCTAGTCTGTTTAAATAATTTCTGTTGCCTAATTAAAATAGAGGTTTCAGAGTATCTAAATTAAAGGTCCGGATACAAAGTATTAATAAATGTATTATTATTATTACATTATCAGAATAAAAGAAGTCCAAAGTAGAAGTATAATACGAAGCAAATTAGTCAATACTTCATATTAAATTTTATCAAAATTCCGTTTACGATGAAACTTGGTTTTAGAAATACGATAATAAAATTACTTAATCATGCACCAAATTTAAACGAGAATATGCTTCGACATGCTCTAAGGTAAGTAAAGTTGTTCTCTTTCATTTTTTGATCACACTAAATAAATTCTAACCATAGAATTGAAATGATTTCCTTGTTAAAAAATTTAAATTATTAAGAAAATATCATTTCATATTAAGAAACACCTTTAAGATTGATTTTGAATGATGTTAACTCGATTGATGTTGAATTAAGTGACAATAATGTTGATTTGAGAGAAGAATTTAAATTTTAAAATAATATCTCAGCCTCAAGCCGAACCTATCTTTTAAAAATTAAAGTTATTGTTTGTGAATGGTGTGGTGCTGATGAATAGTTTAAGAGTCTACGTGTATTTTTAGAGTAGGTTTAAATTTCTTTAGACAAGAAATAATCTTCATAAATCAATAAAAATCATGTATATCAATCAGTGTAAAAATCAAAATTTTTTACGCTGTTCTAATAAAAGTATTAAAATTTCAGAAAGCAATTCTACAAATGAAGATCGGAGATCAATATCAAGTGGTATCAAAATAATGATCTGTCTTAAGCTCGCTGAAAATGTAACAATATTATTTATAACTATTTTCCTGATGATTCTGTTCATAATTAGGTATTTATATATGACTTTTATATTTTGGAACTATATTAACTCATAATACACTATTGGAGGTGCCATGTTTTTTTTACAATAAAAAATTATCATCAATTCCTTTGTTTTCAAATATTATCAGATCGGCGATTTGTCTGAAGCTTGTTGAAAATGTAACAATATGGTTTGCAACTATTTACTTGATTATTCTGTCCATGATTAGGTAATTATAAATGACTTTAAAACTGGATTGACTCAAAATGTATTATTGTAGGTGCTATCAATTTTTTTGTGATAAAGGTTATCATCATTTAATTACCTTCACTGAGGGTCATTCATGAAAGGGACAGTGCTTTAAATTAAATTTTGTCAATTTCTGAGAATCTGATTAAATATTTTTTTCTTTCTAATCATGATCCTAATCAATCGATGACTCGCGGCCAAAATTAGAATTCAAAGCATGGATTAATAATTTCATATCTTAATGCGAGAAAAAGTATTCATTCTATTTTAATTATTTAATCGTGAATTCATGAATGATAAATATAAGAATATTCAATTTAGTTTCATTTTCTTATTTGGAAAAAGATTTTTATATGTTTTTTTTTAGGAAAAAATAATGTGTTTTAATTTTATTTTGATTATGTGTAATTGTAGTAATTATTGTTCTAATTATGTGTTCTTGAATGTAATTAATTGATGTTCAATGTTGTTTAATCAATGTTTAATATTGATGAATTTAAGTGGGATGACATCGTAGATTATTTTCAATGAATCAATGAAGTGATTTAAAAATAGTAATAAAAAAAATGAAAATTAAATTTTTGTGTAGGGTGTTCCATAATCGCACCTTTTTTTGTTGCACTTTAAAAGTCATCATGGAAAATAAATTCATATAAGCTCACATTGCAGTTCACTAATTAATATTTGAGCAAGGAAAAAATCATTAATACGCAATCGAAAATTCGCAAAAAGTTATTAAGGAAGGCATTCACAATCTATTTGATTGCCTGCTTGAACTTGTTGAAATTTTTAATGATCAGCTTCCAGTTAGTATCAGTTTTCTCAAGTTTCAATGATTTAAACCGCCTTTTCTAAATAGAGCTTGTCAGATTCAAATGACAATTTTTTTTCCAAATAAATGCAAGTTTTTTTTATTTGATCCTAAATATTTATTCGTTAGGCGGTCCCTAATGAAGTTCTGAAAATATATGTATGTTATATTTATTTAATTCAAACTTAAAAGATAATTTTCTTAAAACTATTTATTGAACTTAACTAAAATTTATAATTTGATTAATATATTTTGTATTAAATTGATGGAAAAATTGTTATTATAAACTGTATTACTGACAATTATAAACTTTGTTTTGTGATGATTATTAATTTTGCCAATAGTAAATTATGCCAGTTTTAGAATTTTATAATATCACTGAAGTGTAAGTGTAATAATGTAATCATTGAATTAAGATTTGATACGATGTAAAATTTAACTCCAAAGCACTTAAACTAAAATTGAGATTTTCTTAAAAAGAAAACATCATTCAGAGTCTGAAAAAAATGAGATTTTTACATTTATGAGGCTTTTATGATATGTGTTCAGTGTGACGAAATATTGTTTGAATTTTCCATACTCAACTGGAATGCAACAAGCCTGAAAGAAATGCTCAATTGTAAATAAAAAAATACGTTCATATACTTTTATATGAGACTTCAAGTGTTAAGCTAATGTAAATACTAACAAGTTTTGCTGAACTATATAAATTAAATTCATTAATCACCGTCACTAAAACGAACCAACACCTAAATAAACAAGAAAGAAATGAACAAAAAAAAAGAGATAAGAAAGCAATTCGGATAATGTTTAGCGTATATGTTTAATAATCCCGTTTTCTTAGGGTAATTTTTATTTTTATAATATTTTTTCCCTTGTATTTATAAAATATTTTTTTTTTCTTAGTATCTTTTCAAATACTGAGATGATCTCAGTTAAAGCTCTAATTGATGTATTTGATTTAATCGATATACCGTTACCACTGCTCTTCCTGTTTTTAGAATACTTGACAAGAATGAGGTTGAGAAAATATAAAGACTTAAATCAACTTTATATTCAAAATTAAAAATTAAAAATCTTTATCGAAATCTGTTGAATCTCTATAATTTTAATTTATAATTTTTTATGAAATATACCTTAATTGAGTTCTTTTTTTTTACTTTTATCAATTACTACTAAAATTAAGCGCAAACTAATCCTTATATTCTTACTATGAGCTTGTAAATGACATTGTAAGGTCTGCTGATGATGTATCCACATTTTTGTATTTTTTTAATTGTTGCATAGTTTAATACTATTTTGAAGGGTTTATCAATAAGTTCCTTTAAATTGTCATTCAAAACTTGAGCTGAAAAAATTTATGATGTAATATGTATGAAATTTTCGAAAAAATTTAAATAAATTAAAAAAAAATGTTTCGAAAAAATTTTACTTTAAAGATCTCGTGTTTCCATAAACAATGCTTTGCGACTCACTATAATTGTTTGGGTAACCTGTATGTCTAAAGAGTAACCTGTTAAAATAGCTCATCACTTTTCGTTTTTATTTTATAAGATCCATACAATGTAATGTCTGTCAAAACATTAGGCTCGTATTTATTTCAGGAATTAAAAATGTCTTTATAAATATTTTTAATTTTCTAGCTGTGTAAAAATATATGCTCAAATGCCTAAAAAGACAGTGAAATTGCTTCTTTCCTTGTGATTAAATAGCTTATTGTGTGCTTTATGTACTTTGAAAGGACCTGTGAAAACGCATTGTGCATTTTTCATCTTACATTGTAACAAATTTTTATTTGACCGCATTCCTTTTGATATCTTAAATAATATCACAATTATCTAAAAAGATATTCGAGAGTAATATGTGATTTTTGTTAATTTTCTTGCCAAGTGATAAACAAAATATTTTTGAGAGCAAAAATAGTATGGACACTATATTTTACTTATATGTACTTATTACTATAACTTTACTTATATTTTACTTATTTACTTATATACTAATTTATTTCGTAACATATTACTTATATTTTACTTTACCTAAAGATACTGCATTTAATTATATTTTACTTAGATAGTTTTACACATTAACGCACGCAATAAATATATTATTTTAAGTTAATAGAAATGATGGATATTTAGCATGGAAATTTAGAATATGGATATTACCCAATTTACAAAATTGTCAACATGATTGTAATTTATGTAAAAAATATTGTCCACGTTTTAAATATTTTACTGTAATAAATTGGAAATACTGTGTACACAAGTTTTAGCTGTCTTATTGATGTCTCAGAAAAAGCTGTTTGTATACGTTAAAATACTGTATACGAAATAAGCTTTATATTAAATTGTAAAAGAGTGTGTAGTTTTTTTTTTTTTCATTTCTCTGATTGAATTTTCTCACAAAAAGCATAAAATCAATATGTGGAAAAAATATTATTAAAGCAAATTACTATGGATATGAATAGTGCTTTCATATTAAATATGATACTTTTTTATAGAACTTTTAACTATTATATTCAGGATATTGTTAAATACAGATGAATTACTAAGCTTTCACTTTTTTTCTGAACTATCACTGTTTAGTTTCAAAATTGGAAAAAATAGAAACTTATTAATTACAGATCAAACCACTGATGAAATTTAAAAGAAATAAATGCTGAAAAATTATTTCTGTTACACATGCTAAAAATACTTTTCTTTTCATCTTATTTATGACAGGCATTAAAAGATTCAGTGAATAGTCGGAAAAGGATTAATTTAATACAAGTGTGATTTAAATGACATTCAATTAAAAAGAATAAATAATGATAGAAAATAACTCTAGTAGATTAAAATATATTCACTTAAATGATGCTAATAATCAATGAAAAATTACTGAAATTTAACTAAATTCAATTTTAAATAATCCAATCAAGTCATACATGTAAGCAATCAAAAACGATTGACAGTCACTCAAGTTCGAGTGAAAACGATCCACTCAAGTCATACAGATAATCAATCAAAAACGATTGAAAATCTCTCAAGATAGCCTGAAAACGATTCACTCAAGTAATACTGATAGTCAATCAAATACGATTGAATTTCACTCAAGTTCGATTTAAAATTATTCACTATTCACTCAAACTTGAGTGATATATATATGTTACGGTGAAACACCAAAATCAGGAGAATGTCGACATTCACCGGTGAATGTCGACATTCACGTAGTCACTTGGTGTTTGTCCGAAATATTTGCCAAATACCCTTATTTCTGACTCTCACCGGTGAATGTCAACAATCACATTGTCGCTTTGGTGAATGTCCGAAATATTTGTTATCTCCAATTTTATATTAATTTATTCGTTAATATTATTATATATATTTGATATATTTATATTCATTCTATATTTTAATACTTACAGACGATAGATTAGAAGAAACATCAGTGTTTGGAGTATCGGGCAAATATACACCGGGCAATGGCACTTGACCTTAAAAAAACATCAGTGTAGGGTATACCGGGCAGTGGCACTTGACCTTAAAAAAACATCAGTGAAGGGTATACCGGGCAAATGTATACCGGGCAGTGGCACTTAACCTTAAAAAAAAATCAGTGTGGGGTATACCGGGCAAACGTATACCGGGCAGTGGCACTTAACCTTAAACATCAGTGTAGGATAAAATGTCGAATAAATGTAATTATATCCACGAATAAATTCATATCAAATCGAACGTAATAAATATTTCGGACTTTCACCAAAGCATATCTGTGATTGTCAACATACACCGGTGAGGGTCCGAATGTACAAGAATGTAATGAAATATTCGATCTTTCACCGACGTATTTGGTGTTTGTCGACATTCACCGGTGAAAGTCAACAACCCCAGATTTCGGTCTTTCGCCGTGACATATATATGGGTCATTCTCACGAAAACTGTCATTTTTCAGTTCATAAAATCCCTATAAAGTGAAGTGAATAAAAAGCTCTGAAACTTTTTATATTAATAGAAATATGTAATGGCATTATAAAGAAAGTATATATCCTATAAATTATACTTAATATTTAAATTAATTAATTTTTTAAATAATTAATTTATAATTAATT